TTTTTTTTTTAAATGATACAGTAGTACAGTGTATCTATATTTCACCAGTCTTGCCATCTCACAATTTTGGCCATCCCTCTTTGGAGAGTTGGTTTATTTCGTAAGGCTAAGAAAGCGGTGCAAAAAAGATTAGTCTAATTCTCGACCTCAAAATCTCACATTTGTTCATTTGGAACACACAGACTGTAGCCAAGTTCAGTGTAATGTGTAGTTCCAGAAAATATCCATACCTCCCCCACGGAAGGGAATTTTTCTAAGTCCCCCTCTCCCACCCCTCTGGAAATTCCAATTGAGCTTCATACATTTCTTTAAATTTTTTGGTCTCATAGAACACCCCACCCCCCAGGAAATTCCAATCCCTTCTGTGGGGGGAACATGGCTATTCTCTAGAACTGAACAATTAATCAAAACTGTTTATAACACTTCTGCATCAAGCTACATGAACACCAGCTCACATACTATGTGTACATGACTTTAAAAAATGTGTGTTGCTTGCTGAGAATTGAAACAAATTACTTGATTAATTCTTGTGTTAGAGGAACTGCAAAATGATTGACTAAGGCCTTCTTTACAAAAGCATCATCAGTGCTGTATTGTCAAGCCAAGAGGTGAAAACTTCCTTGCAATTGCACAATGTATCTCTCTGGGTTGATAAGCAATAGCTATATGACTGTATAATTTTTTTCAGGTAACTTTTACTTTCTTAGGTCACAAGATAAAACATTATGTACACTCTCTGTTTACCCGGTACTTACATCCATTTCTGACTTCCCAGTATTCCAACTCTGATTTAAGTTTGTCAGCTTCTTGCTTAAGACGGTCATTCTCTTGTTTGAGAGCTGTAATGCGATCCTTAACAGAAAGGTCAAAAAGTAAATTTGTATATTACATAATGCAAAGATTTCTTACAGATTACGTTAATAATACATGTACATGTAAGTTTATATAAAGTGACTTTACTTCAAAAAGTAAGTTAAGAATCAGACTGTTTTTACTTTTTAATACAGGATTATTGCTTTCCTTAGGGACATATAAGGTACATGTATTTAGGTAAAGCTTCTATCGAAATTAATGGCCAGCATAAATAAAGAATAACATCTCAAATATATGTACAAAAATAATGTAGTCCTAAACTGGCTTGTGTTGAGCAGAGATTAGCACAGACTAGTTAGCCAAGAAAATACAAGTAATGTTTGCCTGGTTTTCATTAGTGCCAGACCACAATCAAAATCTCATTATTCACACACTTGGTGATAGCTGACCCATTCCTCTATCAACACACACACTCAATAACAAACATATTTACTGAGTTTAACATTTTAATGATACGTTTTATTTCGGGGCTCATCAACCTACATGGTGGCTAATTAACAATTAGACCCATAGCCCGCAAGGGCTATGGGTCAATAGCCCATTGGGCAGAGCCGAATGGGCTATTGACCTGTGGCCCTTGAGGGCAAAGGGTCTAATTGTTTTAGTATCACCCAACTAGTTGGACAGAAAAGGCAATATAAAGTTAGCAAATGCAAGTTGAAGAAAATATATTTATTTGGGAATAAAATGAAAGAAAGCAATTAAGCGTCACGTGCGATTGCGCCAATTTCACTACTTGAGGACTATTTCTAATAGTCCTCTAGTAGCGTAGCCAATTAAAATGCAGGATTTGCATTAGTCCACTAGTTGGGTAATACCAATCGACTTTAGTTCAAAGGCTAATCAACTTTTGGTTGGGGGTTGACAGGCTAGAGGCTAATCTTCTTGGGGGGATTAAACGACCTGCATCCCTTGCATCAGCCAGAAAATAGCACTTAAGCTAGAATCTTGGACAAAATAAATGAAAAATTAAGACCCCCCTCCCCCATTTCAATAATGGAAAAAATGGCGCATCTTGGTTGTAGTGCGAGTTCATCATTGATTCAGGGAGAGGGGTGGTTTTATTCTGTCCAAGATTTTAGCTGTAGATTGAAGTGTTAAGTTAACTGTGACAAACTTATCGTGTGCAAAAGCATTGGAAAAGTCATTTAATTTATTCTAAGCTGCATGTCTTTACGTAATACACAGTGGGCAAACCTTTATTCCAACAGGCTTGGTCTTCTTTTCTAAAACGAAACAAAAAAACAGAGATAATCTGTAACATACAATTTTTTGCTAATTTAAGGTTGTGACAGTAAATTTCTCAAACCTCCGTCGAGTCAGGACCTTTCTTTATATTTGGCAAATTATCGAGCAAATTATTAAGCTTATCTCTGGAGGTGAACTATATAGAGTCGATACTCTTCAGAAAATTCCTCTAAAATTCTCTAATTCTCTACTGGTTCGTTTAGAAGTGGGAAGATTATAATCTTCAACACTTATATAGTCACAAGTCCTCCGAGCAAGTCACAACTCGTGCACACTAACCTGCCGCTTTCTGAAGGAAGAGAAGTTGAGATTTCAACAAAGCGATGGTCTCTTCGGCTTCCACTGCGCGTTCCTCGAGCCTTTTAGCAACATCTCCACCTGTAACCATGATTATTCGTGTCTGAAGGACTGGTCTCAAAATGTCCGATTTCTTGAAAAGGTTCCTATATGTTGTGAAATCTCGCCACATCAACTTCTTTTCCAAGAAATTATCAGAGAGATTTACTTTTTTCGCAAGGGAAAATGTCAGTGGTTTCTTGAGATACTTCATGTAAAGTGCTGGTCGCGACGCACCTAGATCCCATTCTCCTCTCTACCTCGTCAAATAACGCCTTGTGAAAAACTGTTTGAAAGAGGATATTTGTGCATAGTGTTGGAAACATCTTATCGGTTATTTTTTACGAGTATGGCTGATCTTCTTAAATTTATGTCTTTAGTCGGAAAGCTGAAGTCCACCAAACGTACCGGCTGGGTTTACCGTGGCGTCAAATCGCCTGAAAGCGTTTCAGATCACATGTACCGCATGGCTATTATGAGTTTTCTGCCGACTGGACGTGAAGAGGGTACAAACATCAATCGCGATCATTGCATTAAACTCGCACTGGTCCACGACATGGCGGAATGCATTGTTGGTGATATCACGCCATTCGATGGAGTCAGCAAGGAGGAGAAACACAGAAGAGAAAAGCAAGCTATGGAGAATTTGTCGAGTTTGGTTGGTGAAGAAGTGGGGAAGGAATTCCTACAACTTTGGCAGGAATATGAAGCCCAAGAGACTGAGGAAGCCAAATTTGTGAAGGATTTGGATCGATTTGAAATGATTCTACAAGCACATGAATATGAAGACAGCGAAGGAAAGCCGGGCTGGCTTCAAGAGTTCTTTGACTTCACCACGGATAAATTCCAGCATCCAATTGTCAAAGATTGGGTACAAGAGCTTAATAAGTTACGGAGTCAGTCAAAAGAATAAATCAGCATAAATCAGGCTTGTGTTTTCAATGAGGAGGGATCATCAATGTTATTACTAATAATTTACTCGATGTCAAAGTTTTGTTATTTACTGTAAGGCACCATTGTGTGTGCCTAATATGCATATAGTGAAATAGAGATGAGATTTTCATTTGCATTGCATTTCTGGTTACAGAAATAGGGTATGCGATTAATCGTCAATGGAACTTGGTGATTTTATTAGTGTAGACAGTATTGTTGATGGTATAAAACTTTGTTGTTTTGTTTCTTCATCCTTGAGGAATTATTCCAAAGGAGAGTAGACTACGAGTAGTCCCCCTTTCGCTTTAATAGTCCGTCGTGCGTGACGCGAAAGAAAACTGCGAGCAAAAGATGGCCGCGCGAAATCCTGGGGGCGAGGAGCCATGTCGCGTGGCATGGACGTAGAAAAGCGTTACGTGACAATCCAAATAACCGACGCAAAGAGACTGGCACAGCTGTATAAAGAATCAGCAGCGGACGGCAGCCCACTTTTGGTTGGGGGTTAACAGGCTAGGGGCTAATCTTCTTGGGGGGTTAAATGACCTGCATCCCTTGCATCTGACAGAAAATAGCACTTCAGCTACAATCGTGGACAAAATAAATGAAAAATTAAGACCACCCCCCCCCCCCTTCCCAATTTCACTGATGGCAAAAATGGCGCGCTTTGGGTTTAGCGCCCGTTCATCATTGATTCGGGGGGATGGGTGGTTTTACTTATTTTATTCTGTGCAAGATTGTAGCCTTGAAAAAA